GGCGTGTCGGGCTCTGCCGAGCCGTGCCTGGCACAGACAGGGGGTGCGATGCCTGCTGCCTCCCGCTGCTGCTGTCTTCAGCGATACCATCGCCTTCCTCACCCACCTGAAGGCTCGGGGCCTTTGCTGCTGGTTTGCCATGTGCTAAGGTTCCTTCCCTCCCTCCCGGCTCTCTCCTGCAGGCACACGCTCTCCTGCTGTCGGGAGCCCTGAGGCTGTCACTCATTCCCAGTTTTTGGCTTTGCAATCCATGTGAGCCCCCTGAGAGCTGGCTGAGCCTGGAGGGGGATCTCAGAGGTGGCTCAGAGAGGATGGTGACTTCTGAGCTGGGGACAGGTAAGGACAAAGGTGAGGTGGCTGTAAAGTGGGTGGAGGAAGCTGGAGCCCAGCCAGCGCTGGAGTGCAGATGTGCTCCTTGTGCAAGCGGACGTGGCAGGAAAAGCCTCCACTGTTTCATCTTTCCCTCAAGGCTGCACTCACCTCTCCTGAAAGTTGTCTCCTTCGCGTGTGATAGCAGGGAGGAACCACACGAAATGACAAACAGGCAGTGACAGCCTTTCGTGTCTCTCAAATCTTTCATCTGGGGGTTTCAAAGCCCTGTGCAAATATCAGCTGCTGGGCCAGCTGTGCGAGGACCTGCTTCCCCTTTTAGCTCTCCCTCCTGAGCAGAGCAGATCCCAGGCTGGCAGCAGAACTCCAGCGAAGCTTGGCCACCTCCTGGCTCCGCAGGGCCGGGGGAGAGCAGTGCAGGGAGCGATGGATGCCCTGTCAGGGAGGTGCTTCAGTCCCCACCAGCTGCTTCCAAGTTCCCCATGCAAATAGCCAAGGATGGACTTATTACAGTCTGGATGTGGCCCTGGGCACACTCCCCCCGCCAGGCTGAGCTCCCCCAATGCCCTGCACTGGGAATGGAGAGCACATCCCAGCCTCCCTCTCTGCCAAACGGCAGCACTGGCACACAGACCAAAATGCCTTTGATCTGTTTATCTCTGCAGACCAAAGCACAAATCTATCTTTAATAAGCTGATGATCTGCTGGAACCAGGGAGTTTTCCCGCTGATCAGCAGCCCTGTGATGTGTCTGGGGTAGCTGAGCTGCCAGATGCTTCTCTAGTGGCTGGGGTGTGCAGAGTGCGAACACGGAGGGATCCCTCCTCACAAACAAGATTCAAATCTGCTCAGGAATGTCTGCGTCAGGCAAAGCCACTGGGGTGTTGATTTATTACAGGGGCCCTCGCTTGGCTCTGCTCTACGAGGGATCTTTCATCCAGAATTCTCAGGATGGGAAGTGCCATGTAGGGACAAAGTGCTCTGGTTCTTGGGGCAGGATTCCCTCTCCAGCCCCCTTGCACTAATCCCTCTCAATAAAAGACCCCTGCTGTCCATGGGGCAGGCTCTGAGTTCAGCATGTTCTGTCTTCCCAAAGCCTCTGGAGAAATTTGAGGGTGCATTTGGGATGTGGTGGTGGAGCGGCTTCAGACTTGCAAGGGCATCTGGGTCAGAGGGAAGCCCACCACTTCTGCAAACCCCTGAGCACAGGAGAGCCTCAAACCCTGACCCTGTGCAATGGCAGGGTGACTGTGGAGCCTCTGAGGGGCCCTATGGGGTCACACCCTCAGTGTGAGTTCGCTGGAAGGGACGCAGCCTGTATGGTCTGTGCAAGGAGTGTGGGAAAGCAGCTGGATCTCGAGCTGAAAAGAGCCCTGTAGGGACATTCCTGGTGGCATGGACTGCCGTGCTCTGTGCATCTGCACCCTGGGAAGTGGCAGATGTGATACCTGCAGAGCCTGTGGCTGGAAAAACATCATTGTCAGCAAGCTCTGAAGAGGAAGGAGGCTCTGGATACTCATCAGACCCCATGGCTGACCTGCCACACGGCTGCCTCGACCAGGCTCGCTGGGCTGCACGGGGCAGGCAGCAACCAGGGACACTCAGAAACTGGAAAATTCCCTGAGTGGGCTGTGCTGAGCCAAGGAGTGAGTAATGAGTCAGGAAATGGCAAGAGGTCTCTGACATTCTGTGTGTAAGCAGCAGTTATTAAAGGCTACAGCAATGCTGGGAGATGGGAAAGTGCAAGAAAAGTCAGGGAAAGTTTGGAACTCCAGGAATGTGAGATGTGGCAAAGACAAGAGCTCCTCAAAAGTCTCAGATGGTGAAGATATGCCTGGAAGGTAGCAGCCAACCTGGGAAATCACATGTGGCAGCTCAGTTCTGAGAAGGGCTCAGAGGTGCAGCTCTGTGCTGCTCTCCCCAGCATGAGCTGGGTTTGGAAAAGCCAAAAGAGAAGGGGTAAGGGGAGTAGAAAATATGTAGAAAAGAAAGCATCTGTGTGCAGAGCAGCTCCTTGGGCAGTGCAGGCTGAGAGGGGCTGGTGACATGTCCCGTTGGGCTTTGGAGACATTTGTGTGGATTCTGGCAGAAGATTGTGGATTAGGGAAATAGACTTGTTGTTTCCTCTGGAAAAATCAAAAGTAAAAAGCCATGGAAAGGTACTGACCCCACCACAGGCTGCTGAACCTCCTGGATAGCAGGCAGAAGCCAGTAACTTACTCAAATAATCTGAATACTTTGATTTTCACTATCTTATATACACAATGCAAATAAATGACAGAGACCTCCTTGATGTGCTAATAAGCTTTTCTCCTTTTTAAACAAATATTTTCCAGCTAAATCCTGTCCTGGACAAAAGGATAAATAATGACAGAAATCTCTGATATTCCCTGGTAGGGACTCTGTAAACCAGAGCATACTCGTGGGAAATAAATATTACAGGGGAAAGGACATGTTAAACATCTGCAGTGAGTCTGGGGCTGTGCAAGGAATTGCTCCTGCCTGCAGACCAAGCAGATCCCCAGGGTGGTGAGAGACCCTTGCTGAGGTGGCTGAGCTCCAGTGCAACATCCTGCTTGCGTATATATTTCTGGCATGCCATTAATTCTGGCTATTCCAGGAATATCTCTTTCCAAAAACACCTTTCCTGTATGGAGATGAACGTAATGGAAAAGAAGAGGATGCTGGGGCCTTTCCCAGCCTTTTGTTTTCTGCAATACTGATCCCAAGGATGCTTAGCAGGATCCCATCTGCTGTGATATAGTGTCAGACTATAGACACAGTCTGTGACATATATATTAAGCTTCTCTGTGTGCAGAAAGAGGATGTTGGAGGTTTATTTTATGTCGGTCTGTTTGTGTTATACAAAGCTCTCCAAGCTCTAACGAGTACTAGAGAGTGCTGCTGGCTCCACACTACTACAGAGCTCCTTCAGGGAGTTGAAGGCTCACGTTTTCCAGTGTGTCCAGGGTCAAGGAGGGTCCTCCTCTCACTCAAACAGAGCTGTTCCTAGATTAAACCATGCCAGAGAGGAGCAGTCTGTGGACACCAGCACACTGGGTTTTCATCTCTCTGGTGCACTATAAAGAAAAAAGGATCAGCTGAGGTCCATGGGAGGAGGTTCCCTCTAAACCACAAGGCTGTGAGGGGAGCAGGAGCCTTGGCACAGTGTGACCACCCCTGGGTGCACGAGGCTTTCCCTGGGTGGGAGCAACTGGCTCTGGCTCCCATAAGTGGATCTTCACGGGCTTTATCACTAATCCTGCTGAATACAATTGTGCACGTCCTTGTTTTGCAGATAAATATTTAATCCTTCTCCAAACGCCGCTGAGGTTGTGGCCTGGGCAATAACTTGTGGTTAATTTGAGTTTCTGCAGAGCTGTTGCTCTGTGTGTGTGGAGGAGGCCGAGCCGTGATCCAGGAGCAGGGTGGGACAATGGAATGCTCCACACTTTACCCCTGCTCAGACCCCTCCCAGCACTCCTGGCCCTCTGTCAGGAAGATCAGCCAGTTTCTGAGGGAATGAGCTGTTTGGTTCCAGCTTGGGGCGACTTTAATCTGCCCTGTGTATGTAAGGGCCTGTTCTGAGGCTGTTTGGGTGGTTTAGGAGCCCTCAGGCCTGGAAGGCGGCTCCTGCCCTGGTCACTTCACAGGGAAGGATTCCTTGCAGGAGCCCCAGGCGCTTCCAAAGCCTTTCCTGCAAAGCTGGCAGGAGGCTGTGCTGCTGGGCACGGGGCAGGAATGAGAGGATTAGCAAAATGCTCTCCTGCAGCGGGACCGCCGTGGGGCTGGCAAGGAGCACGGGGCTCTGGGCATGGAGCTGGCTGCAGACAGCCCAGGCAGGCTGCTGGCACGGGGAGGCCCTGCAAGGACCATGGCTGCAGAGCGACCACGAAGCCAAAGCAGTGCTGAGGTGCTCCCAGAGGAGGATGAGATGAGGAGTTGGACACTAGTGTGGCTCTGCACGGCGCCAGGAAGGTGTTTGTGCCACCTCCAGGTCCTGCTGCTGGTAACTTTGTCAAACTGTGTCTGTAGGATGCTGATCCCTGGTGCAGTGGTGCTGCAGCTGAAGTTAAAGCAGTAGAGGATTTCTCTGCCCTGAACCACAATGTCAATGTCCTCTGCTGCAGGTGGGAATTCTCACAGTCCCAGGCTGGATTCTACCAGCCTCCCCCCTGTCTCCTGAGGACCTGGAGCATTTGCCAGGGTGAGCAAAGCCAACAATGCCCATCCTCTTCATGGAGGCTGAAAAGCTTCAAGAGTGAGGAGCACACGTGGTAGAGGCCTGGAGAACATGTCCCCAGAGAGAATACTGATGGGATTCTGACAGATGTCATAACCTGCTCATATTTCCTGTTTTACCACAAGGAAAGTGAGTAGGAGCTCTTGTACCCCTGAGAGAAGTAGCAGCCAGTGGC